CCTCTGAATTAATGCTAACTAAGCTGCCTGGTTCATTCCTCAAAGTGACAGGAAGCTTTGGACTCCACATACGTCAACCAAACCCCTTTTTTTTCTCTTTGCTTTGTGTGATGATCTGCAGGCATGCTTCACCCTCTGGACTGACACAGACTGTCTGTGCCAGTCCCACAGCACAAAATCCAGATCATTAGCCTCCACGAAGGGTAATACACTGCCCTGGCATGTGCATAATGCTTCCATTAAGCTCAAAAGCAGAATTAGGACTTAAAACTGACACTGGGTACTGCTGGGTTTGGAGACGGGGTAATTGAACAGAGACTCCCGTTGCCTTCCCCTGCAGTCTGTTCCTGCCAAGGGCCTGGTGTTTGATCACAGCTGCGGGAAAGCACCGTGATGGTTCAGTGCAGAGAGGCTACCCATGTGCTGCCCCGCATAAATGAAACAAAGGTGACTCATATTGACCTGCAACGCTTATTTGATATTCACAGTTCTTCTTACAAGAGAGCATGAGGTGCCCCAGAGCCTGAGCCTAACAATAAGCAGCACCAGCCACGAGGGTCCTTTAAAACAGAAATCCCTGGATTCTGGTGTGTATATTCCAGGGCATCTACTCTACAGTGGACCACAACTTAAGAAATCTTTTAAAAATCACAGAATTGAAGGGCTCATTATTTCTGAGTGTCTGTAGGTGGTCCAATGGACAGTGACAGCACCAACCCGCCTCCTCCAGTCCGAAAATTTGTGCACTATCACAGACACCTATGGGAACAGCCCAGCAGACAGACTGAAAGGCACATACACAAAATGAAAATACCCTTGATGTATGCCAGCATGTATGGCAAATGAGTCCAGAGCTTTTAGCACAACACAGAATCGGCACTGTAACTATGAAGAATAGCTTGACCACATTTTACGCTCTTCACTACCATCACACCAACTCCACACAACAGCAAAAATTCAAGCATACAGAATATACAAATTCATAAACCAAACACTCTAAAATATATATTTGAACGCTGTGACTTCACTTCTAGGTTCTGAAGCTTTAGGAAGACATTTCTTTTGTTCCTAAAGCACTGGAGGACTGAAATTCAGTGATGGATATACATGCATAAGCTGTCTTTTCTTGGGCTACTATGGGCCTGCCCCTTTGTGCCCATTTAAATTTTAAACAGAAGCTCCCAATCCTCAAAAGCTGCTCTACTGCATCTCTGCACAGGCTCCCTCCTGCTCCACGTTCTTCTGTACCTCCGTGTCTTCTTTCTCTTTCCCACTGCCCTGATCACTCTCATTCCCCACAGGCAGCATTGCCAATCTCACTGCACTGTAATGTCAGCCACTTCTGCTGGGAGCAGTGATTTTCAGCGTGAGGAATCTCTGGAGGTGACATAAACCTATGCTGAAGGCAGCTTTGCTTTCAAAGGTGCATAGGGGACAACAAGTGGAAGTTATTTTGATGGCTGAGTCCTCATAGGTAGCCAAGGAAGGTAAAGACTCATTTAAACAAAGCAAAATTTGAGTTGACTGGATTTTTTTTTTTAATGAGACAGAGGGGAAAAAAATGTACAAATACTTAAATTTTGATAATAATGTAGAAGTGTGTTAATATTTAACACCAATCTAGTTGCCTATTGCAATTCAAGAGTTCACTGAAAAAGAGGGTGAAAATAAGGACATATTTATATCACACCAGCTTCAGAACAACTTAAATCCATACTTAAATACAGTCTTCCATTACAGTTAACATTAAAAATTATAGCCAAATTCTCTTCTGAGTTACAGAGATGCAAAATCTGAGTATCTTTCTGAAATTAATGGATTGGTAAGTAAGACAGCCAACAATTTGTTTGTCAGCAAATTAAAAAAAAAAGAACAACACATGACTAACATGGCTGGGAATGATTGATGTAGGAGCACTTAATGCACCCGAACTTTGCTTCTTTTTGGGTAAGAAGCTGAAATTCACAGAAAATTGAAGTGCATTAAGAGAACCCAGCTGGCTTGTCCTCATCAATGACAAAGTTAGTAAAATTCCCTTTAATTATGCAGTTGTTCTATCTTGGTTAATTCTCCAAGAATTAACCAATTAATCTGCTGGATACACCTCATGATTAAGATGAGTTGCTAATCCTACCTCTGAATAGTTAATCTCAATTAAATTAAAGCAGTGACAATATGTAGATACATTTAGTATAAATGTCATCTATAAAAAGAGACACTATCTGAAGTTGGGCAGAGGTCAACTGATGAACCCATACATTAGCACCTAGAGAACTTTGGCTTTAGTATACTGACTGATTTGGTGACGGTGTGGGGGGTTTTTTGTTGTGTTGGGGTTTTTTTCAGTGTGTGGGGTTTTTTGTTGTGTTGGGGGTTTTTCCCTAAGCGAAAACCAGGAAAGACTAAATGAGACACCACCAATAATGATAATCACAAAAAAACCCCTAATCAAATTGAACTACATTAGTGAACCTCTGAGGTGAAACATGCATCCCATTCCAGCAGTGTGCTGAGAAGGCAACCTTGCTGCCAGGGCATCAGCCTACTCCTGCAAACAGTCCTCAGATGTCTTTTTTTCTCTCAATCACACGGCTTGGGAATTTCTTTTTTACCTGAAGAAAATTTCTTACCAGAGATAATGCCTTACCACACATCTCTCATGCGGCTCTCACCTCAAAGATGAACTTAGAACTGCCGAAGTTCGTTTTCTGCTTCTGCCAGAAATTATCAGGTTTTATAATCAGGGCAACATGAATCTCAGCAGGAAATGGGTCAAAAAAGGAGTGGCTTGATCAAATCCCATTTGGATCCCCGCATATCGATGATAACAGTGAATCCCCGTTTACAAACATCTTCGCTGTAGGAATAAAAGCATATCAAGAAAATTAATATTGTGGACAGATACACCAAGACTTTTGTGCTAATATTCAGTGCTTCAGAGCAAGCAAGTAATGATACACTTTCAAATAAAATATAAAATATAGTACAGCATAAAGGATATATGAAAAGTTTTATCATAATCAACTTTACATGAAATTCAAGTGTATATATTATAGCTCCAGCCCTGATTTCCCAAATATCTGTAATTCAGATTTTTACTGAAAACATACGTGCTTCCACACAAGTGAAAACAGAATTAGATATATTTATATAGAAGCTATTTATGTGTACATACAACAGATTCTGCTTTCAACATACTGAATTCAATCCACAGCCAGAGCCAACAAGCAGGGTCCTGTGCCTTAACGCTGCTGGCCATTCGTGTGCCTTCATTTTTAGAGGCTCCTTTAAGGGCTTTTAAAAAAAGTGTAATTTCCAGAAAAGTGCCTGGCAATCATTCCCTGAAAGGAAGGTCCTTGTGACTCAGCATGCGCACTATTAAACTTGGGGCCCTCTTCCCTCCTGATCGATCTTCCAAATGTTGCAGGATCTTTTTCAATCTGCAGTCATACTTTTCTGCCAGCCTGTGCTCCTCCCTTCTCAAAAGCTCAAGACAGTTACCTGGCCTGGTCATTGGCAATGCATGGGGCCCAGAAGCACCAGAGCATTAGCTTGCAAACACATCTTCCCTTTTTCCTCAGGATAAGAGAGGAGAAAGAATAAAAGGACATGTTGAATTATTCAAGTAAAGTCTGGGCAGCTTTCAGCATAGCTTTTCCAGGGACACAGTATTGCTCCTCAGAAAAAGAGGTATGGCTCAAAAATGTCATCCTCCTTCTGCAGGATCCAACATTTGATGAGACTTAGGAAGTGTCTACTCCTCTGCCTGACCAGTTAATCTGCCGTGCATGGCACTGAAGTCTTGAGAACTACAGCATCTGCTTTAGGTCTCAAGGATTTGCACAAAATGTGAAATTCCCCATCCCCAGCAATATTATCAGCATGATAAATCTATAAAACTAATAGGTGATGTGCTAAAAATGAATGCCACAATGGTCTAGGTGGAATGGATGTCACAGCCTGTTCCACAGAAAGATAAGCTGTTGGAAGAAAGGAAGTGTGGAAGGAAAAAAGGAAAGTGAAAACAGAAAGAACAGTTGAGAAAAAAGCAAACCATGGCAGAACATGACCATATTTTGTATAATGAATGCAACAGTGAGATACAGAACAAGAAATCCTCTGACCATTAATATAAATAGGGTCAATATTGTGGACATAAAGGCGTATGTAAGATAATTTAAAATAGCAAATGTTGATATGACTGGAATGAATCTGAAATACGATAAGGAAGATATTATTAAGAATGGTTATGATGCAGAAATTGTAAGGCTCTGTTTAGCCTCCACACAAATACTTTCGGAGCACACAGGATGATTTTCACTATACTCTACCTCTTTAAATTCTTAAAGCACTCTTTCAGCTAACAATATCCAGCTCCTACATATCTCACTTAAAACAACTCTATAAAGCTTATGTTTCCGGGTTGGAACAAGGACAGGGATAGCCGTCAGAGGAAGCAGACTGGATTAACATATATAACTTAAAAATAAAAGTCCTTGGTGACCCTACCAGTTTCTAAAAAGATCTGTGTACACATGGACCACCCTGTGGAAAAGCAGATTTTGCCATGTCAAGAGAGTCTGCTAACTTGAACAGTCTCAACTTCGTGCCAGGAAGGAGCAGTCAAAGCCAACACGCTTGGTCCTCTGCCTTGACATTATTGGCACATCTAGAGCACACTGCATACAACAGTAAGTGCAAAGAAAAACTAGGGAGAGCAGGCACTTCCAAACACTGTCAGGAATACAGATCTTTTTATATTCCTTTTACCTACTGCTGAAAGGTCAGACATCTGATCCTTCCATAACTAATGCCAAAAAAGGCTGTAAAAGAAGCTTTGTTGGTGGTGCTACTGCCTCTTGCCCTCTGGAAGGAGAGCTGAGACAAAGAATCAAATCAGAAAGGGATGAATAGAAGGGGTTTTGTGTTTCATTGTTGGTGGGTTTTTTTTTTCTTGCAAAGCTTTACAGTGTCTTCAGTAACTTCTGGCAAGTCACCGATCCCTGTTACACTGAACTGACTTTTCCAAGCATTGATTTTTCTTCAGTGCTTCATGGGCACATGGAAAGCCCCAGCAGCAGACAGAGTAACAGGCAAGCACAGTCTGTCTTTTCTGATGTAAATAAATAAATAAATACCCACCCCTCCATTGCAACCACAGCAAGGCACAGCCAATGTTCACTTCATTCCAACTCCCCAAATCTGATCTAAAATGATAATTTAATACTTACTGATGAACAACAGCAAAAATAGTAAGCAGAACAGGAGTGTCCTGAGGGACTGAAGTCTTCCATTTATGAACCAGTACTAAAGTCTTAGACTCAGACAGACCCAAAATCAGATCCTGTCACCAGCTTCAGAGCATTGACAGTATGATACCACCTTGACACTCATGATTACATACCACCGTGACTGGAAGTTCAGCCATCAGTAAGACACATTTTCCATATGGGAAATGAAGAGAGATGAATATGGGCTGGATTCCATATTTACTGGAGGTTTACAGCCTCCTGGACCCTGGAGGTGCAGAGAAGGAGTGGAGGGAGCAGACAGTACTGCCACCCATTCCCATCAGCACACCATGACAGAGCATCCATGTGTGAAAAAAGGCTTCACAACACCCTAAACTTTCAGGTCTTTGGAGACGTCACAGTATGTTTTCAGAGACAGAAGACAGGATAATGATTCCTCAGCTTTTTCTGGTGGACACAGTAGAACAGCCACAGACCCTGTGAGCCAGGCTGGGACATTAGCCCACAGGTGGGATTCAAAATGCTTCTTGATTCTTCTCCTAAAATAAGCGATAAGCAGTCATTCGCTACCAGCACTATCCACACTTCTTGTAACCAGACCAAATTTTCAACAAGCTTAGTACATTTTTATGTATGAAACTGATAGGATGCAGGGATGGTGAATGAGGAGATGAAGGAGAATAATCATAGATTTTTTAGGCTCAGAACTTGTCAACAAGTAACAACTATTTCACTAGTAATATAAAACACAATACAATGGTCTTAATCACAGACAGGATTTCCCTACTTGACTGTTCACACAGGCATGTAAGTTCCTGTATGAAATAACTGAAAAGATGGGTACCCCTTTTCAACTATAATGCAGATAATGTACAAACGGATGATGTTTATTAACCTGAGCAAACCCAGCTCTATTGCAAGAACCCTGTTCAGAGTCTTCAGAACTGGCTCTGCTTGCAATTTTTTTCTTTAATGAGATGAATGGTACTAACCTGTAACAAGACCTGTGGGCCTGTAGTCTCATCTACACAATTTAATCTCCCCATCACAGTGCTAATTCCACACATCCTTCTCTGACTCTGCAGAAAATTAGCACCTGATTTCTAAACCTGCTTGTCAAAAACTATTATTTAATAGTGTTTAAGCTGTTGCAAGCCAGAAAGCTGTCTGCTCATTATTTCTACTTTCAGTTGCATGCTGTGGAGAGGGATGCCTTTCAGAGCACTTATACTATACAAGTAGGCAGCCGGATACTAATCAGGTACTAATACTTCAGAGAAAGAAGGAGGAGATAAGAAAATTATTTAGACTGTAAGCTCTTCAGAGCAGGGACCATCTGCCATGCTGTGTTTGTCTACGGAGCCTGCCTTGGTGGAGGTCTCCAGGTACCTATACTCATACTGCAGTTGTCAGCTGTTTAGAACGAAGTAAAAAAAAAAATTACACTTCAGGAAACCATATATGCAAATCCAAAGAATTAAAAATAATGAGTAATAACAGTCTGCAAGAACACAACTGAACACATATGCGAAAGTACAAACAGTTTATATAAATGTGGGGATACCTCATCGGCAATTTAGTTAAAATAACCTTAAAAAAAAAAAATCCAAATATGTACAGCTAGTGATAGGGTCCTAGAAAGGTTGGCCTTGTGTAGACATAATGAAGCATCCATAAACTCTGGTGGGTCAGAGCAATCTGTGAAGATTTGTCATCTTTGACAGTCAGTCATTTTCCTTCGGTTACCTCAAGATGTATCGATGAAATGACCCTAGGTTCCTTTTGAATACTCTAGACATGCTTATTAAATTTATTGTTTAAAAGCAGCAACTCAAACACTTCCCAGTTTAGCAATTGATCAGGAAATGCATCAGTAGCAATCAAGCTTCCTGCATACTGTCCAACCAAGACATGCCTTATCCCCGGCTCCCAAGACGCTACATCAATCCACGTATGTATTATGCACAAGTAATCATTTTAGGATGGCAATTAATGTTGATTGTGGTGCTTAATTTTTTCCGGTATTGATATTTGGCCAGAAACTGGAGAAAACACTCCGATCAAGGTATTTGGACAATCCATCAGCCTTTTGGCTGTGCTCATCTGGACTAGATCTGCAATGGTGAGCACAAAATATTTGATAGCTGATATGTCATTTAAGTTGCTACACTGCTTTTAAGCAAAGACCAGCTTCTACGTTTAGTAAAAATACCTTAGAATGTTTCTGAAAACAATACTTATAATCTGGATTAAAAAAAACCCAAAAAAACCAAACCAAACCAAACAAAACTAGCATAAAATTGAAACTCAGAAGCAGATGTGATAATTTTGTCAAAATAAATGCCTCTATTTTGGTTTCTAACATACTTTCATAAGGTTATTTTCTCAAATTTCCTCTTTAATTCAGGCACATTCTAAATTGTATTTTCTTTGGCAAGAGCTGCCTTGCAGGGTACCAAACGAGTTTAAGGGCTTCATGCTTTCTGATTAATCTTTCAAATACCTATCATCGATTATGTGTATTTTTCATCCTTACAGTTTGGCCAAAGCTTCTGGCAATTAGAAGCTTCGGCACTTGATTAGCTGAAATAACATAATATCCCCG